ATGGTTTAGTGGTAAAATATCTGGTTCCCATTCAGATGCCCCGGGTTCGATTCCCGGTTGGTGCATACTTTTTTCTTCCCTTTCAGACGACTTTGACCTTGGCCTCTTTGGCCGTTCCGGCTATTCATTGCTGGGTACCTATTGCACTTGGACTTGAAGAAGAGCTGTTGTCTGGCAAAGGTAGAGACGCAAACACCACCTCAGCGCTCAACGGAGGCCACTACAATATGAGTATGGCGTTACAGAATACATGTACCAGTAGTACATGTTGTGCAGCTCGCCTCCACCCCATCTTTTGGGTGTCTTATGCAATATCGTAGGCAGAGTTCCTACTGAATACCAAGAGCCTTCTCGAGCGCGGGGTTGTTTGTTCTAACACCACATACCGTTCGTCGCGAGCTTGTCACGCAGTGTCTGGTTCTTCCACATAACCACAAAATCGCAGAAAACAGAAATAAATCCATGAAGATCGGGTTTTGATTGGGCACGCATCCGCCAATCGTGCCTTGTTCATTCCATACCTTTCAACTCGTGTTCGCAAAAACCATTTCCCATCATGGCAACGCCATCACTATGGGCGAACCCCGTGGTTCGTCTCCTTCTTCTCGCAACCCTCGACGACAACAGCCCTCTCCACCACCTACGCGGCCACACTGATATCTTGCGAGGTATCGTCGAGCACCTTCGAGTGCTCTGGCGGTCTCAGCTCCTGCAAAATGAACGCGGCTACGTCAAGATGGGTGACATCGGATTGCTGCCCGACGACGCCGATCGGGATGAGGTCCTTCGCCACAATTCGCTGCTCGTAGACTTTCCCCCGCCGCTCGCGCAGCTCGTCGACGGCGAGGCGCAGCCGAAACCATACTACGTCAACATGATGCCGTTCATCATTGGCCAAGCACGGACAACACTGCCGCCCGAGTGCCGGCGGTATATCCCTCTCCTCAACCTCTGCCAAGGCAGCCACAAGATCGGCTCCATCGGGTATTTGACGATCCACGAAGGTATCGTCGAGGCGAATACATCCCAGCGCCGCCCAGGACTCCACGTCGAAGCTCCGAATGGAAGCAAACTCGTGAGCAAGGTCGGGGCTGGGCAGTCGCATTCGGAGTGGCAAGAGATCCGCTGGGGGCGCGGCTGGTTTCATACCAACCGCTTGATTGGCGGCATCTACATGGCATCCACGGTCGCGAGTTCCTGTGGGGTACGCACTCTGCGTGCTGTCGATGCGAGGATACTCATCGAAATGCGTTCGACTAGGTCTGGAACACGGTCGTCGCGGACGAGAACGATATTGTCGGTGCCCTTGGCGAGGTGGATGTCCTCCACGGTGTCTTGGACCCCGACCGTGACGGGTACTACGAGCCGCAAGCCAACGAGCTGTACTGGATCACGGACCGGACGCCACACGAGTCCCTTCCGGTGGCCACGACGCAATTTCGGCAGTATTTTCGCTTTGTCACGAGCAACGTCTCGCACTGGTTTGCAGAGCACTCGACGCCCAACCCACTGGGCATTCAACCCACAGCCACGATCGTCTACGGCAACAAGTTTACGGGCAGCCTGAGGACCGAGGTGCCGTTGCCCGACCAACACAAGAAATCGTGCTCGGTGATGTAGATATATCGGAAAGAAAATGGTTGATAAAAGGAAATACAGCAATACGATCGGTCCAAAGACAGACAATTTCTTCACAACTCCATTTTTAGTGGAAAATGTTCCCGAGTCCATGGAGGATAGCAACAAGGCTACATCGCCACCGTCCGTACATACCTATCGCCGCAGCTTGCTTCACCTCGATAGCCTTGTAGTGCGACTTTGGATTCGTTTTTGTCGTTGATGCAATATTGTGTGCTGGTGTTGGGATGCAAGCTGCTGGTCTCGGTTCATAACCTTTTGAAACCTAACCGAAACTTCAACCGGTTAGAAAGGCGCCGTTTCGATATCAAAAAGATCTTAGCGAAGAGCCATATTTTCAAGCGAGACATGGGGCGTCCCGTTGCGCTGCTCGTCGCGTTCGGCCTCGCGCCGTCCGTCGCCGCCGAGTGCTGGCTCCGCAGCGACGGCGTCCGCATCTGTAGCGCGGACGGCCTCGAGTGGATGGCCATGTGGTGGTTCTGGTTCGCGGTCCTCTTCTTCCTCTGCGCGTGCACGGGCGGCTCGTACATTTACCACCGACGGTGCGTCGTCGCCTGCGCATCGCTCTCAGGCCCATAATGTCTCTGTTAGGAACGTCAATGCACTGTATCAGCAAGGCTTTGTGACGTACTCGGAGCCGCTCATTCTGCACGATAACGTGCAGGCGTCCACAGACCGGTCTGCGTTTGCCCACAAAATCTTTTACCAATAAGAAAAGAGTGAACACGAAGACGACTGTATAAACTCGATACATTGTCCGTGCTGGGCAAGAGATCAACACCTTTACATCGGTGCAGGTGGCTTGATTTGATCAAGGTCATGTCCGAGACTACCTACGAGAGATCATGGTGAACACTCGGCGACACGTACATATCCTGGACCCGTCGACACTAGCAGTGTATTCTTGTACTAAGAATTCGAATAATGATGTTTGGAGGTGCGGCACTCTACTCTATAGGCACCACTGTTTCAAGTTTTGGTCACGGGCCAGGGTCTTCTTCTGTAAAATATATGACGCATTAAATAGGAGTTCACTCAACGCCGTCGTCGTCGACGTCGTAGCTACCGATCGCATCGAGGAGGCCGGCCGAGGAGGCTTCGTACGCAGCCATCTCGTCGATGCCCTCGGCTGTCGCGTCCCCCGGTTTCGTCCACGCCGTTTCGCCCGTCGTGGCGTTGTAGTAGTACGTACTCTGACTGATTTCGTCAAAGTACTCGGTCCACGGGTCCGGCGTCGGGAGCGTCCAGCTCGTCTCGAGCGTCGCCTTGTTGCGATAGTAAATGTTACCGTACTCGTCGGCCACTTCCTCCCAGTCGCTTGCAATCGGCATACATTCGTCATCATCGTCCGGTGTCGGTGCAAACATTCCGTCCAGGATCACGTCATCACCTTGGAGCTCTGGCGGGCGCTCGTCCGAGACCTCGCCCGTCATGCGGTTCGTGTACGTGATCGTGTTGTCGTCCGTATACGTCTCTTGCCAGTACCGGGACCGCCGATCAAAGATGCGGGTCGGCTCGCCTGGTGGGGTTAGGTAAGGTCACATTGTCAATAAAGAATAAAGTACCTTGTGCTTGAAGCAGCAGGTTCATATGGTGCCATGTCGACTGGTAGTGAGCTTCGAGCTCCTTGTGCGTGTCGTAGCTCTTGCCGACGCAGAGCTTGCACGGGAACGCGTACTTGGGCAGCTCATATGGGTTTTCGGGGTCGATCACGGTATGGATCACGTCATCGCCGTAATCATTAAACACGATCGTGCAAACGTCCTATTGGCAGCGGTTTCACAACGATAACGTGGCGTGACATACCGTCGTCAGCGCCAAGAGCACTTTGAGCTTCTTGACGCCGTACGCAGCGAGGTTGAGGCGTTTGTGCGTCACGACTTCGTACTGCTTGAGGAACTGCGTGTACGGGATCTGGTCGAGGTTCCGGTCCAAGACTTTCTTGATGTCCTTGCGCAAGATACCAAATTGGCTCTTGAGGTTGTCGTCCGATGCGATTTTGAGTTTGAGCAGCTTGACTTTCTCGGCAAGCTCGGCCGCAGCCGCCACCCGCTCGGCCTCTACAAGCCGTGGGTCGATCGGCGCGACTGGGTTGGGCTTAAAGATGCGTCCGTGCTGCGTCGGGAGGTCTTCCATCGTGTCGAGCTCCTTGATGTCGTCCATGGTCTTGGCGAGTTGCGCTTCTTCCTTCACATAATGACTCAAGCTGTCGTTGAGCTCGGCAAGTTGCGTTCGATGGCCTGCCGATGTGGCTTGGAGCTTGGAGAGCTCGGCTTGCTCCAGTCGCAGCGACGCTTTGAGGCCCTCAACTTTGTTGAAGTGCTCCATGAGGCGCTTGTACACGGGATAGATCTCGCAGGCCGTTTGAGCGTACGCAAATGCAGCGCGCACCCAACCGCACAGCTACACGTAAAACCTTAATTAAAACGCAGCTTTTCATCACATACCGGGGGAATCGCGGGCGAAATGTTTGCGAGGCTGCTGTTGCCCGGTCGCAACCGAGGGTTGTGCACGACTTGAGTCACATTTTGCAGCATTTGATACCGCGGCCCTTCGGCAAACGAGTAAATGTCAAAGAGCGGTAGGATGTACAGCGCCTTGATGTCGTATTTGTGAATCAAACTTTCCTTGTCGCCCTTTTATATGTACAATGATTATCCATGAAACATTCAATGAAATTTCATGGAAATGACATGTACCAGCATGGCGTTTTCGGTCGAATTGCCCAAGAGCATGAGCATCTCGTCGCGGGTTGGCTTGAATGGCACCCCGTGAAGCGCAAGGTTGGATTGGTAGTTGAGTAAAATCGCAAACGCCTCCAGAAGCGCGACCATGTTGTCATCCAACTTGGCTTTGCGGATCTAAGAGAACACCCCGTTCAACCTATTTTACCAGATACGATCCTGTCGTTCAACGTACCCGATACCAGTCCATGAGCTCGATCTCGTTGAGCGCAATTACGGCGTTCTTGTACACGACTTGAGTTTTCTATCCATGGTTCAAAGTTTACCGTCAAAATAACGCAAAATGAGTCATGGTCTACCCGCGGATCGTTTTTCCAAAATGTCTCGAGCTTGCGCTGCATGTCGTCTTCCTTCTCCAGCGCGACTTCAAGATCGATGGCCAGCTCCCGCACGACGCGAGTCGCGTCACGAACTCGCCGATCGTTGCGGTCCAAGTCGTTGCGCGTCCGTTCGACGGCGGCTTGGAGCTCGAGCACTTTGCTCGACACGATTTGAAGCTGCATGGACGTCTTCTCTAAGACATCGGCGCCAACCATGACGTTTTGCATTTTGGCCAAGAGTCTACGTTCGGTATAGTTTCGCAGCGAAAGCGTATAAATAAATGTGGTACCGAACAATGGATTTGACAAAGGTGTCGTCGGGGTCCACACCGAGTGGCAAGTTGGGCAACATGCCGGCCACCATGACTGCATACGGCGTTCGAAACTTTGCTTTGACGAGTTCAATCTCTTGGCCCGTGTTGGTCGTGTGGAGTGTTGTAAAATATTGTACAAACATCATGGTCGCAAATTTCGTGATTGGCCTCGACAGCCACAACGTGCGCTCTCCTACGAGAAATGTCACCGTGACATGTCTATCGCATCATGACATACCGTGTTGCCACAAGCCGAGGCGCATGATGGGCTCACTGCCCTCTTCGGCCGGCGTGCGTGTAAAGTACTTGCCTTCTCCGTGGGGTGCGTCATCGACAAACGGCCCTTCGTACCGGTCGCCATTCGGGTAGGTCAAAATGCCGATGCCGTGCTTTTTCGTGCAACGAAAATCGCCCTCGTAGTGGCGCCGATCGGCAAATTCGACCACCCCTACCCCGACGACTATACACCTACTGTGTTTAACCGCGTTTTTGTACCGCGGCCGTCGAGCGATCCGTCGCTAAATTTGCCAACGATGCGGTCACCGTATTCGTTGATGCGCACGCCTTGGCCATGCCACTTGCCGTAGCAAAAGGTGCCTTCAAAGCGCGATCCGTCCTCGTACGTGGCAATACCTACAGCCCGTTTGGCGCACGTTGCGCTGTATAGGTCGAAGTACCTTGGCCGTGGTACTGGTCTTGGGCCCAGTCGCCTTCGTAGCGTTCGCCCGACTCGAAGATCTCGACACCATACCCTTCACGCACCCCGTGGCTCCACTCACCCACATACTCGCCCGACGTGTACGGTCGCTGGACAAACAGCGTGCCTATATGAAATAAAACGCAATAAAACCCATAAAACGCAATAAAACCCATAAACGCAAATGGATCGTACCGAAGCCATGGAAGAGACCGTTGACAACCTCGCCCGAGAAGCGCGAATTTTGATGCGGGAACTCGATCGTAAACGTCCCGCACGCATGCTGTGGTAGGAACTGATTGTTGACTTCGCTGCCCTCCCACTTGGTACCTACGTGCAGAATCGTCTCCTGCAGTGACAAGTGTCTGCGGCTACCGTCGGGGCAAAGGAACGAGCCGAAATGATCCGACACAAATACTGTCTTTGTAGGCTCGACCCACGATGGCTGCTCGTACGTGGGGTCTTCGACCCACGGCCCGTCGTACGTCGACCCGTCGTTAAATTCGAGTTTTACCTAGACGTGAAATATGACAATGTTTTCCACCCCAAAAAGGTACGTGGCCGTGGATCAAGCCATTGCGAAAGTTGCACTCCATGCGCACGTATTTGGTCGGCAGCGCCGTCTTTTTGCGCTTGAGCCACTCGGGGATATCATCGCGGCTACGATAACGTGATCATGATCACCCAAAATGGACTGTGATCGAGTGCGTACTGTTTGGCGAGCACCTTGGAGCCACCCGCCGAGGCTTTGAGCGCGAGGCGTTCGAGTCGCTCAGCCTCGGCTTCTTTCGCTTCTTCTTCGTCGATTTGAAACTCGTCCAGGACCAGCTTTTGCATCGTCTCGCCCTTGGCTTCGGCGTCTTTTCGACGGCCGGCGGCGAAGCGTTCTTGGATGAGCGGGTCGAGGTTGGCGATCTGGAGGGCATAGTTGTCGGTGACCACGGGCTCGTACAGCTCGCTGTCGCCGCTAGTGATTATACGCTCCTTGTGCAGCTGCTTTTGACTGCGCCGAAGCACTTTGAGCTCAAATTCGTCTTTTTCGACCTCGTCGTACAAGTGTGAGATTTCGAGCTCGGCGTGGTGCCGAATTTGCATTTCCAAGAGCGCGGCTTGGAGGCGCTTGAGCTGGCGGGCGCGCGCCGCCATGTGCCGGTCGTACGCCTCCAGGCCTTCTACTTCGTGGACGTTTTCGGCCATGAGGTCGGCGAGCCGCTGGTGCATCGCGCCGACGATTTGATTGTTTTTGGTCACGACTAGGTTGGTTTGCACGCGTGCCTTGCCCAAGAGCGCACGCAGCTCGTTGGTCTAGAATAACGTCAAAAATAAGAAAAATCATTTCAAAATCCCCAAAGTGATTGGACCTTGATGACGAGCTGGATGAACGGCAGGAGCGCGATTTGAAGCGCAGTGAGGCGCTCGATCTCGGCCTCCATCTTGGCCTTGGTCGCCGCGTACTCTTTTTCAAAATTCTCGATCGTAGCGACCAAGGCATCCCGTTTTTGCGTTGCAGTCTTCTTGTCTTTTTTGAGCGACTGCTTTTGCCACGCCTCTTCGGCCGTCGCCAGCCGCGTCGTCTTGAGCTCAATGTACGCGTCCAGCTCGTCTTTCTCGAGATGATACTTTTCGCGCTTCGTCGCCGACTCGTCAATGTAGACAAGTCGTTGGGCCGTAATGCGCTCGCAAAGTTCAACCGCTTCTTCTCTTGCCTTTAAATTGAGCTCGGCCGACTCGAACGCGACGCCGTAGACCGGCGGAAGCGCGTCCATGGCTGCGTCGACATCGCTGACGCGCTGGTGCCAGCGCGCAGCATCATCTTTAAGCGTGTCGTGGCGGGCATGGGCTATCAGGATGGACAATTATTGTCTAGAACTAGACGACGGCGACACGCACCCCGGGCGAGCCAGTCGGTCACGGCGCCTTGGTACTTTGTTTCCAAGAAATACTCTTCGCCTTGGTCGGCCATCTCGTGCTGATTGGGCATTACGTGGCGCCGCGGCTTGCGCATGCAATAGTTGGGCGAGAGCTCGAACGTTGTCATAAACAGCGGCTGGCTCATTTCGTCTTTGGTCAGTTTTGTCTGGGAGCAGCGCCAGATGTGGTAGCGTAGCGTCTGGTAGCTTGCACACGACTGTTTGCAGCTCGGGAAGGGACACACGAGTGGTAGGTGGTGCGAAATGCCCACGTGCAATTCAAGGCTCGGAAAATCCAAGAATCGCTCGCTGCACACCGTGCACGTTCGCTCTTGGATCCAGTCGGTGGCCAATTTGTCCTCAATCTCCATCAAAGCACTCTCCTTGGCCTCGAGCTTTGTCGTGTCGACGGGGGGTGGCTCGAGGTCGTACGCCAGAACGTGGCTGATCTCTAGATGGAGATGACAGATTGTTGCGTCGTCCGTAGCCATGTAGAACGACGTACCCATCGGGGGCAGTGGTAGCTCCATGAGGCGACTCATCGGGCCCAATCCGCGCGCGTTTTCCGCCTTGATGGTAAATTTGAACTCTTTGGCCAAGTCAATGGGCCCAATCGTGAGCTCCGGCACGGGCGGTTCAAGGGCGCCCGTCTCTGGGTGGTGCTTGCCTCGAACATAGAGGCGGCCGGTCGACGTCTCACCCGACTCGATGTCTTCGGCTTCCCACTCGACGACGTAGCCCGTGATCTTGGCGCCGCGCTCATCGGGTGCAGGCCAGCTCACGTCAATGGCCCCGCCCATTTTCCATTTCCGAAACTCGGACTGCTTCTTGACTTGGCCAATCGTCTCCAAGCTTTCGATGGCTTTGGCCGCCTTTTCTTCCGGCGTTTCGTCATCGCTGACGTGCTCAACATCGGAAAACTCATCGTGACTTGCCTTGTCATCATCGTCATCGTCGTTCTCGTGGTCGATCGTCTCTCTCTCGGCATCTTTCGAGTCGGCGCCATCGGTTGTTTCGTCTTGAGACGGACCACCTTCGCGTGAGGTTTCTGCAGATGTCTACAGAAGGTTGTGTAGTCTCGACTCGGACGCATGCAATAGATGCACCTGTGCACTGGGCTGGCCCGACGCTTGCTCCGAGATCTGGCTTCGCTTGCGATGCTTCTTGTGGACGAGCTCAATGACTTCGATCGCGTGGTCGTCGTTCATAAGGACATTGGCCGTGTTGGCTCTGCCGACGCCAACATCGACCTCGACCACGGTGCCGTCGTGCCACTTGCCGTCGTCGAGGCGCACTTGAATTTTGGCGCCAATGACCACAAACGTCAGCGGACTCTTCCGACTCGGAGAAATCTCAATGTTCATGATCATTTCCGGGGGTTGAGCCTAAAGCGAATACACAGTTGAGATTCCCATGGCGTTTGTCACGTGTCGTGGCGACCTGGAGGTCGCGGAGTTTGCTCGACTGCTGCTTGAGCGTCGTTTTGAGTTTGTTCAAGGAAGCCACGACGTCGGCCTCGACGACGAGAAGCGCTTTTAGGTCCTCACGTCGGGCGGCTTCGTCCTTGGCCCAGCGTGCGTGCTGGAGCTTGAGCGCATCTTCGACAGCGCTGAGCTTGGCGTGCCGCGTGGCGTACCCATAAGGGCCTTCTTCGGAGCGCAAGTCGTTGTACTCTTCCTGCGCGACCGCAATCTGCGCCGCCAGTCGCTCTTCCTTTGCTTTTTGCCGAAGACCCCGAACGATTGAGAGCGCCTTGTACTTGGCCTGAAGGGAGTTTTTCGAGTCCCAATGGCGACCGCTCTCGGGGTCTTCGCCGCGTAAAAAGTTGGCAACGCCCCACCCGTGCGGTAGCAGTGCCACGCGCGACCTATCCGGGTGCGGCAGACTTGCGTCGTTTCCACGCACAAAGACGCCGTGCACGATGGCCCAGCCATCCGAGTCCGTGTACGCGCTCTGCGTCAGCTGCTCAAACTGGTACTGCTTGACGTAAATGTTTTTTTCTTCAAAGCTCCGCGCAAAGTCCCCGCCGCCAATAAATCTACACAGTACCCATAGGACTATAGACCACTTGGCTAAGACATATGTACCCTGCCAGACCCTGCAGGCCTTTTGAAAAGAAGAACCGAGCGAGCGCAACGTTCGTACAATTGCGCAGTGTCCGAAGCGGCCGAAACAAGAGCTTGTCGAGAAGACCATCAAACCGGAACGGCATCCACTCATCGTGGAACGGGCCGTCGCCACCAAACTGGACGTTCTGGAGATTGCTGAGCGCATTTTTGATCTCGGCGCGCTTGGCCCACGCTTGCTGAAAGCGATCGACCATGGTTGCGATCGCCAGCGCCGTGTCGGGAAGGTCCCTATGACGTATGGTTGTTCATACCTTTTGGTCTAGAAAAATGGAAAAAATGGCTACTTTGGCGTCGACGCGGCAAGACGCAGCCGCTCGAGGATCTTGGCCGTTCGGTGGTTGGCCAAGCCGAGCTTGGTCAGCACCGAGAGCAAGAGCGTCTCGCGACGTGCCCGCACGACCCCTTGCGTCTGCAGTTCTTGTTGGAATGCGATGCGGGCCAAGTAGACGCGGACGGCACACTGGATCTTGCGCGCCGCAAGATACAGTCGCGTCTCGTCGCGGATTTTCTCAGCGTACGCGAGCAGCGACGCTTTCCACTCGGGCGTGATCTGCAGCCGCGGCAGGGCAAAGTGCAGCGCGGGGATTTTGTAAAAAACGGGTTTCGATACGTCCGTCGGTGTCGCTTGCGTGTACAGCGGTAGAAATTCGAGGGAGTTGTCACTACACGCAGTATGTCCAATGTACGTCCATCGAGTGTCTACCTGTCCATTTTGACTTCGGTCGACTTGTCGTCTTGGATGTGCAGCACGTACGCGGTCTCACCACAACGCGGGTGGCCTTCCAAAATGATGCGCACCTACGCCATCGATGAGATTCGGTTGAAACATTGAAACGAAACACCGTATCGCCGGCAACAATCGGTGTCAAGTTGATACCACTCGCGAGCTTTTCTTCGGCGGCGACGAGCTCGTCGCGCCACTGCAGTAGCTGCTTGCCGTTAAGACTCTTGGTCGCGCGCTTGGTGTTCGCGTCCATAGCAATGCGCCGCACATGAACGAAAAAGCGAACAAACGCGAGAAAGTCCGTCCGGATCTCGGACAAAAGTGACGCTAAATCCATGATGAACGTCGCGGGGTCGAGGCCAAATATGGCGAGGAAGGACCGCAGCGCGGCCTGCGACTCGCGCGTCATGGCCGTCAGCGCGCGCAGTCGCTTCGACTCGAGGCTCCGCCGCGCGTACATGTGCAGGATCGTGACGCGGTGCCGGCGCTGGGCCGTGACCATGCGTCGCGCCATCTTGCCGCGGAACGCTGCCTGCACGCGGACCGCACACCGACGCAGCTGCAAAAACCCTTTCTGTGTCGCGTACCATCGACGGGCCTAGTCCGCATGGGATAATAGACATAGATTATCGCATATGGGCGTACGTTGTAGCCCCGGGCGATGCGCTGAATGTCAATGGCCGCCGCCTCGCGCCGTCGCTCGAGCTCGGCTTGCTCCTTCTTGCGCAACTCGGCGCGGAGCAAGAGCATCTACAGGGTATGTCATCATGACATGCCGTATGCAACAGGTTGTGTACTTCTTGGAGCTGGCGACGCTCCTGCTGCCGTTTGATGTACATGAGCCGACGCAACTCGCGGTAGAAATGCCGTCCCGCGACACCGCGCCAGAGCCGCTGGAGCATCACAATGAGGCGTAGCTGCTGCTCGTAGACGCGCGACGCCTCGTCGTTGAGCTCCATTGCGTCCCACTCGACCTCCTTGGCCTTGTACGCACGCAACCGGCGCTTGCGGTCGGCCGCACGCAGGATCGAGCGCGCCAAACGGCCGCGCCACGCCAGCTGAATCACCACGGCGGCCCAGCGCACGTTGAAGTAGTGGTCTTCAACAAAACGCCGCGCCAGGACTCCGCGCCATTGCGTCTGTATAGCATACGCATGACAATATTGTCCATTACAATGGACCGTACCTGAATCAACACGACGCAGCGACGTTCCCAGAACTTTCGCGCAGCAAAGCGAGCCCAAGCATGGAAGCGTGCGGCGAGGTCGCTCGCTTGCATGCGCTCGCGCATCTATTTCAAGTTGTCAAGTGGTCACTGGCACGCAACGCTGGCTGATATCGTGTTACGCGTTGAAGGAGCTCTCGGTGGTGCGCGACGTAGTGTCGCCACGCAAGAAACGTGCGCAAAACCACTGCACCCCGGAAAAAAGCCAGCGCCCGCCTAACAGATTCGATTCGCGCCCGATATCTAGCAGTGGAAAGGAGAACCCTGCGACAGCTTTGGCATGACGCTTCTCTTCGGCGTACTCGGCCCATTTGGTGACTGCGTGCACGAGACCCTGCAAGGCAGTCAGCTAAATGCACAGGCGTCGCTCCGTACCAAGTTTTTAAGGCGAAGAGCAACCCGCCGCAGCAGCTCACGCTCATCTTGCTGCAGCTTGAGAAAACGCAGCCACGCCATGAAGCAACGGGCGACGACGCTGCTGCGAAAGTGTCGCGCCGCGCGCTTGATGGCCTTGCGCTTGGCCACGTACGCGCACCAGGCAAGCCAAACGCGGAACTGTTGTCGATGCAAAAGCTTGCGTAGATGGGTTCGGTACTTCATCTTTTTTGTCTAGCCCCAGCCGTCAGAGTTGTATAGTTGGTTGGGTGGCCACGTACACGCTGCATTTCGGCGTGGCGGCGCCACGTCTTGAAGCTCCACTGCGTCAGACTCTACTCCATATATGGATTGTCTTTATGGACATCCATAAAGCCCGGTGTACGCTCGAGAGAATCGACAGCGAAGCTTGGACGACGAAAAAACGCTGGTCCTTGCAGAACTGCGTCCAGCGCGCCCAAAGCTTGCGCAGCCAAGTGACATTGGCGATCTGCGTCTTTGGGAGCTGTCGCAATGAGTTGTGCGTCTCGAGTTGAACCGCCACATTCCTACATGAAACCGTCATGGATCTGTCACACGAGATATGTCATCGTGACATACCAAATGCCGACGAGGCGCCGACGGTACGCAACAGCGATTTGCGCATGGACTTTCCAGCGCTGAAAAAGCCGTGGTGTGGCTTGGAGTCCCCAGAACTCGGCGACGCGCTTGAGTTGCGCCTTCTTCTTGCGAAGGAGCCCTCGCCACGCATAAAAGACACCGGCCACGATCTTTCCTGTCCAAAACTGAAAGGCTTTCACCGCCGCTGACTCGTTGTACAGCTAGACGATCGTCGTGAGTCTCAAGAACGTTAGCCTATACGAGTAGATGAATGGCATACCCGCTCCCGCTCGGCCACCGCGGCGCTCCACTCATTTTTCCATGCTTGAAAAGTAAGCCACAGGTTACGGCGTGTCCAGTGGTTTTTCGCGCGCTCGAGGCGCCGTGCCACCTGGTGGGTTCGATACCACGACAGAGCCGTGTAGACGAAGCGCAGAGCTCGTCGCCAGCGCCGGCGGACGCCTTGTCGCCGCATGTAGCGACGAAAGCAGCGCTGGATCATGATGACGCGGATCGTCATCACGTGCATGCGCCGATCAAACTTGAAGCGCTTCTCGGAGACGACGACGCCGGTCCGGTACAGCTGCTGGATCATGGTAGCCGCGCGGTGTTCGCGCTTTGCTCGTGCCAAGAGCGCTGTGTACGCCGAGATGAGTGCCGACTGGCGGCTAGGCAAGAGAGAGCACGCAGTCGCCGACGCCACGAGTACCTTGAGCTGGTGTCGCTTGCGTAGCCGAGAGAGATCGTGCAAGTGATGGGCGGTTACGTGCGCGCACGCGTCGACGTCAATGCGGACAAGTGACTTGCAAAGCTTGAAGACGCCACGCAGGTGCGCGATCGAGACCGTGCTATTGGCGAGGCTGAGGCGATCGAGGCGCCAGCAGCGCTGCGGCAACATCGCAAAGCCGGCGCTCGTGATACTTGGTGTATTGAGCGAGAGCACTTGAAGCGACGGCGGCAAGAACGCAAGACCCGCGTCCGTGACACCGTCATGGTCGAGCTGCAAGGTCGCAAGCTTGGTGAGCGCGCGCAAGGGGTAGAGCGCATGGGTATCGATCTCGTCGCACTTGGTGAGATGCAGTTCCGTGAGCACATCTCGGCTTTGACGTGCCAGTGACACGAGCGTGCTAGGCAATAACGTGTGGGCATAGCCGAGCCAGAGCTTGGCCACGCGTTTGCATTTGCGACATGCGCGGTCCCAGCTCGTCGAGGCGATCGTTGCAGACAAGTTGTCCAAAATCAGGGTGTGCAAATGCGCGCCGTGTATCGCAATCGCTTCCAACGTCGCATCCCCGAGGCGCGGACACTGGCGAAGCGTGAGCGAAAGAAACGGCAAATTCGGACGCGGAAAGGCAAGTAGCGGCACGAGCCCGTCGTCTGAAATGGATGGTGCGCCCACGATGGCTAGCTTTTGAAGTCTGGCATGCTGCGCAAACGACCGCAGGCCCTTGTCGTGCACTCCGTCGCTGCCACCAAACTTGAGGAACCGTAAGAGCGGACACGCCGCCGCAACCCTAGCATCTTTTATATCAATAAGATGCTAAACAGGGCAAGGCACCAGCTGAGCGCGAGACCCGTGAGCTGGCTGCACCCCGTGATGTCGAGCTTCTCAAGCTTGTACGAGATGGTCGCGCCCGTGTAGACAAAGCCCATCGGCGGACGCACGAGCGCTTCAAACTATGATTGGTTAGAGCTCTTGGACGACAGACAACGGACTTACGCCAGCATCGGTGACTTGTTGAGCGTTGCACAACCGGAGAACGACCAAGTGTTTGGCTTTACTGGCTGCAAGTGTCTGCAAAGTCGTGTCGGTCACCTAATCACTTCCTAAGTAACACGATCTTTCAAAGACGCTCGACTCTACTTGGTGGAGGTTGGAGAGGTCAAGGCGCTGCAGCGTCGCACCGCACGTCTACACCACCATCACGCCTCAAACGACCCTTCGTAGAACGTACCGTGAGGAGGGAGTCGAGCGCGGCGGTCGAGAGGTACTGGCACTCTTGCAGTGAAAGGTCGATCAACCGTGTCCATGCTTGCGCCATGAACTTCACGCCAACGTCTGTGATGCGTCCACAACGGCGTAGATGCAGCGCTTGAATGTGGGGCATGACGCGCGTCACATACCGGAGCAGATCTAGTCGCCTCGTCAGCACGTAGCGAGTCCACGCACTGCGTACCGTCCGAGACATCGGCGCATTGGTTCAGGTGCAGTTCTTGCAGCTTGGGGCAGGCAGCGCCAACGAGCTTGTAGTCCGCTTTCTATCATCGTTCTTGAATCGCACCAAGCAAATGGCACCGAGCGAGATACCGTCAAGCCTGCGCTCAAACTCAAATCGAGCGACCGCAAGTAAGGCACTTGGGCAAAAAACTGCTGCAGGACTACACTTCCCGTTACAAGCGCGGTAGCGCAGATCGAACTGTACCTGGTGGTGCAAAGGTGGCGTGAAGCCCCGCTACGTTGAGGCTTGTACACGCAGATGTGATGTGCGGTGTCGCGCTTCGGAGAAGCTCGTTGCCGTCCAGCACCGTCCACGGCGACAAGTCCACGCTCCGCAACGGCGCGGCGCTATGGCGCTCGTGAAACACATACGGCACCAGGCAGTCTACAATATCGATATTCTGGACGACCTTTAGACCGCGCTTCCGTACCTTCAAGCTCAATCGGTTTGTCCAAGTTGAGAACCGGAATGGACATGGCCGTCTTGGGCCGCTCGGGCCCCGTGTCGATCGGCAGGCGGTCCTCTGTCGCATCAGGGGCGCTCCGCGCGCGCGTCGGATGCACGCTACATGCCGTCGTTGCACTGTTGTTTGTGTACTTTGACAATGCAGCACATACCGTTGGACGTCCTTGAGCATACTTGCAATCTCTGCTTTCTGGTTGACAAGTCTACAGGCCCCATGAGACGACACGATTTGATCCACTGTGGACAACTTGTCTTCTTTGGCCAAGAACGGTAAAATGAGCTCTGGTGCCGCACTGGGCACACGGCGTCGTGGCGGGCTCACCACAGCAGGGCCCGTCGCGTGGCGCTTGCGCTTGAGAAGTGGGGCGACCGATGGCATGACGTCGTGCGACACAATCTCCATGCGCCGCCCCAGGTCCAAGCGCGGCCACGATCCATTGTGCTTGGCTGTCTCCGCAGCATCTTCCGTCTGCAGCCAGTTCTGAAACGCGAGGCTTGTCGAGCCGAGATCGACGTCGGCAAACGGCTCAGCGTCGAGGCGTTTGGCCACGTCCCGCTTGCGCTTAGACAGCGTCGGCGACTTGACCGCGTCCACGGACCGGCGCTTCATGTGGCGCGAATAGCCGGCTCAAGATATGACAGTTTCATCTGCGACATTGCCGTTGCTGGCGATCGGCCTGGCGACGCTGCGAATGCCAGCGACGAGGAGCCATGCGAGCGGGCTAGCGTAGTTCTACAGTATCACAAGCAACAATGAAGTAGTGGCACGCGAGGCGGCAGACTTGCACTGTCAACGACCGAGGACGAAAGAACGCGTCCAATGTTTCGAGGCCGTTACCGAGATATGTCCTTTCTCCATTTTCCGTCGAGAATGGGCGACACGGTCAAGACCATCTACTCGCGTGGCCAAGTCGGCTTCTTTCTCTACCTTCTCGTGCTCGCATCGCTCGGTTTGCTGCTGCTGACGCTACCAGCGTCGCCCCCCGAGACGTTCTATGGACCGCCGCCAGCGTCGCTAAATACAACGGCGTGCGACGCGTGTGTACTGCGCAACGCATCCGTGTGCCACGCCGATCTCGGTGTGTTTTCGCCGCCAATGCTTGCTGTCGCATGTGGCGAACGCTGTTGTTGCCCGACGCGCAATGACGTCGCTCGAGTCGGGGCACCGTACCATGCGACGGGCTGCCTTCCAGCACAACGGCCGCACCAGTGTCTGTGCACGTACGAGCTGCGAAACGCCGGGTACGGTCCGCTGTCGGCGCTTCTCGGTGCGTTGGCCATTGCCGCCGGGTGCCTCTGGAGCTGGTACCTGCAGTGCCACTTTTGTCCCGAGCCAACGTTGGTGCCCGACGCCAAGCTGCATCACGTGGTCGGCTCGCAGTATACGTAGGTCGATCTGAGTTCTTATTGTAATCATGGATGTGTGGTTTCTTGTGGTTTACCCAGAGATCGCGGTTGCTCGTCGAGATCGATGGACCTTCATCTTGCTCCCAGCTACTCGCTTCTCTGGCTCGAACGATTGCGCCTTGTCCCAGACCATCATGAGATCCGTGAAGGCGGTTGCTTGATTTCCAAGACGATGGCTTGCTCCTCGACTTAAGGTTAGCACAGCGTATATACCATAACTTAGGTACTGGAGCATCGTGCGGATTTGAACCCGAGCGACTTGAGCGGTTCGAGCCGCAGCGAACTCCTACTGTATTAGGATCTATAAGTATAGCGTCTCGAAAAATCGAAGCGAGCGCATCGTCGAACGGTGTCGCGTCGGCGGGTGCGTCGCCGGCGAGTAGCCGACGTTCTTCACTCCTGCGAGTGGTCGTGTGTCGGGAATAATGGCCTGTTGCACGCCGCCGATTTCCCACATGCATACAATCAACTAGATAGAAGGTGGGATTTTAGTATTTCCCACGCAAGATACCGGTGGGATTCCGTCGCTGCGCGCCGCGTGCCACCAGGCCCCGACCAGTTGCAAACACGCTTGCTTCAGCGCACAAGACGATGCAAAGCAGCCCTGCATCGCCCGCGCGCCCGAGCCCAGTGCCGGCGCGCACCGAGATCCTGCGCTCCGTCGTGCGCCTGCCCCCCGGGCAGCTCAAGCCGTCCCGAAAGTACATCGTCTTTGTGCTCAAGGTTTCAACGTCGAGCAATGCGTACCGCATTGTCGAGCGCACGTGGCCCGAGTGCCGCCGCTTTGAAGACGCAGTGCTCAAGGCGCGGCGTCACGACTGCGCCAAGCGCTGCACGGCGCTCTGGGCCGAGCTCGAGCCCAACGTCGAGCGCATGCACGTCGGGTTTCGCAACTGGTGCAAGATTCAGCTGCACCACCACACGCCCGAGACGATTGCGATCTTCCTCGAGCACTATCAAGTGCTCTTTGATGCAATGCTGGCGCTGGTGACCGCGACTCGCTGCTCCGGTCTGGACAACCTTCGCACGCTTCTATCCGAGTTCTTGTCACCGCCGGTCAAGTGCCCGTAACGTTCTATTTCCCCCAATGAGTCGCAACCAAGTGCTACAGTGTGTAGTACTACAACCAAAGCCAAACGTCCTACGAATCTCAAGTTTGTGTAGTCTTTGCGGAGTGGGGAAGCAGGGTCTGCAGTACTTCCACTGCCTGCCACGAAATACGAGCACGAGTTCAGACAAAACCGCGATATATACACCCGCGAGCGTTGGTGCCGCCGACTCCTGGATATGACGTGGCACCACGTCAGTCCATTGCCAGGACCGAGCCGACGATTTCAGCCGACAACATTAACCGGTTTGCTTAACCGATTGTGTAGCCGGCTGCACAAATTCAACCGAGTCGACGCCATCTGGCGATTACGCAAGGCAATGTCGTGAGAATCGCTTGAGATGCCCGAGTCGGACCTGGTCGCGTCGTATGCGTCGACCTGCGTCTCGACGACGTGCGAGCACCGACTGCCGGCGTCGCGCGCCGAAATTCTTCGCGCCGACGTCCGGCTGCCCACTGGCATCGCCAAGCCGACGAAAGATCACGTGGTCTTTGTGCTGCGCGTCCACGACGACGGCGACTGCTACGGTGTCGAACAGACATGGTCGGCGTTCATCGCGTTACGGGACGAGCTCCTCATTGCACTCGCGCCCGGTCACCCGTGTCAAGGCGTCTGCCCGTGGCTCTGGGAAGACCTCCGGCACAATTTTGACTTTCCAACACACAAGAAACTCGGATTCCTCGAGTGGTGGAACATTCGCCTCCAGCGCCATACGCCAACGACGATTGAAATCTTCCGAGATCACTTCCAGCAACTTCTAGACTCCCTCGTGAGGCTACTGTGCCAAACCCGCATTCACTGCGAGCGCTTCCAAGGCGTCTACGCCGTCGTCGCGCGATTTTTGACCGCCGACCCCATAGAAGCCATGCAGTGCGTTAGTTAACCCAACAACTTGTAATTTGTCGTTCGTATTCGTTGGCATAGTTCGTGCACCGGAATGCTAGAAGAAGCGCAATAATGCACACGTTGAGGAGTCAAGACCATGCATCCAGGCAGTTTCCGCCATCATCCGGAAATCGGCACCAATAACCGGATATAGCACATGTGCCAAGCAAGGCCTTTGGAGTGGGCACGAGAGCTTTCTGGTGCTTGCACTACTGTCCGAGTCTTTCTACAGCCATTATGTTCAAGTACCTAGGCAAGAGCTTCTCAGCGCCCTCCCCAGCAACCAACAACAACCCCGCCTTTCGGTTTTGAGACTAATCGGAGGTCATTTTGAGTGATGGTCTTTGGAAGGGCAAGAGTGGTGGTACCAACGGCCTGTCATCGCTCGTGTCGGATCGCATTTTCAAAGATTGACCATGGCCGCCAAACCCAAGCCACTACGCTTGTGAAGGCGCCGCCCGCCAAGCGCTCGACGCGCAGCAGCGCCACCAACGTCTCGCCTGCATCGGCTGCCCCGGCGCCCGAAACCAAGCCGACCCGCAAGGCCAAGACGACCAAGATAGCAACCAAGGCCAAGGCGGCGACAGCATCGACCAAGGCGACGCCCGAGACGCCCGAAACCACTTTGACGCATGCCGCCATCAAGGAAGAGGAAGACTTTCAGCGCAAGCTTGACGACCACTACAGCACGCGCTACGGCAGCGGAGCCATCGTCGTCGGTGCCCACGACGTCATGCTCAACCAGGTCGAAATCAAGGCGACGACGTCCAAGAACAAGTTTTACCGCCTCCAGCTACTTTCGTACCCTGGCACGGAGCGCTACGACGTCTGGACGCGCTGGGGTCGCGTCGGAGAGGACGGCGATTTCATGCTCTTGGCCAAAGGCGCGTCGTGGGACCTCGGTACGGCGACTGCGGCCTTTGAGAAAAAGTTTAAAGACAAAACCAAGAATGTGTGGGCCAACCGCGCGAGCTTTGTGCCCAAGAAGGGCAGCTACGAGATCATCGAACTGGACGCCAAGGCGACCGCGGCGACTACCACGGGCAGTGTGGGCAGTGACACGGCACCGTCATCACTGCCACTCCCCACGCAGCACCTTTTGCGCATGATCTTTGACACCAACATGTTCAAGGACGCCTTGTCGCAAATGAATCTGGACCCGGCGCGCATGCCGCTCGGCACATTGAGCGCGTCGCAAATCGCAAAGGGCGTCGCGATCCTCGAGAGTCTCCAAGCGCGCACGGATGGGTCGATCGCCGAGCTCTCGTCCAAGTTTTACCAGCTCATTCCACACGCCTTCAGTCGGTCGTCGATCCCGCCGCTGCTCAAGTCGCCCGACCAGATCGCGGCCAAGTTTGAGATGCTCTCGACGCTGCACGACATTGTCGTGGCCCAAGACGTCCAGAAAGCGGCGTCCGCGTCTGCGTCAACAACGGCCGTGAACCAAATCGACCTCAACTACGCCGAGCTCCACGCCGACATTAGCCTCGTCGACGCAGCCAGCCCCGAGCACGCGACGCTGCTCGAGTACATTGCGCAGACGCGGGGCGGCAACGGCATGGACGTGGCGGGTATCTGGGCCGTCAAGCGGTCCACGGAGGACGCTCGGTTTGCGCCGTTCCAAGACGTCGACAACCACCGCCTCTTGTGGCACGGCACCAATGTCGCTGTCGTCGCAGCGATCCTCAAGTCGGGTCTGCGCATCATGCCGTCGTCGGGCGGGCGTGTCGGCAAGGGGATCTACCTCGCCAACATGCTCGCCAAGTCCCGCTCGTACGTCTCGCCGGCCAACTACAATGGCGAGCGTCTCGGCTGCGTCTTCCTCGTCGAAGCTGCGCTCGGCCGCATGCACGAGATCACGCAGGATGACTCGTCCTTGAAGCGCGCGCCGGACGGCTTCGACTCGGTCTTGGCCAAGGGCAATGTGCACCCGGATCCGGCACACGACCGGACGCTCGACTTTGACGGACGCGCTGTCACCGTCAACTGCGGTCCGCAAGTCCAGTCGGAAGTGTCGTCGTCGTCGTTTTATCACGACGAATACCTCGTGTACCGAGAGGAGCAGCAGCGCCTTCGGTATATTGTCACATTTAAAATGTAATTTATCGGCTTGTCAAGTCGAATTTTGTACTAGAACAACGCGCCTGAATCGTCGCGGATGCCGTTCAAGCGACTCGAATGTATATAGTGTTAAAACCGAAACTGCCTCGTATTACTCGACTCGGATAAAGCGTGTGTCTGTTGATGAAGACGGTCGAGGGAAGAAGCCATGAAGCGGCTTGCATACGCCAGTGATAACGTTGATTTTGCCCACGCGGCGGCGCATCATCAGGCGCTGCATCGCCGTGGCGCAGATTGCGTCCAGCCGCTAATTCGTCGTTTCCAACAGTCTGTTTAAAACAGTCCACCGCCTTCCATACAACTACCGAGATCAAATGCGTTCTGTACACGATGATCGCAACAGGTGTTTCCGGCGTGCGACCAAATTACCCGCCGACACTGGCGACCACGCGGCTTCATTCTGCGCCTTTTCTTCTTCGATTTGCTTTGCAAAGATCACTTTTCAACATCCTCGCTGCATGACGCAAGCGCCGCCGATGCACCGCTACTCGCTGCCGTCCTCGGGCCACCGCTTGGACCGGACCCGTGTCGACATCCTGCGCGCGGCCGTGCGGGTCACGGACGACTTGCCCAAGCCCTGCCGCGCCAACACGTTCTTTGTCATGAAGGTCTACGACGGCTCCGACTACCACATCATCGAGCAGAGCTGGTCGGCCTTTCGGGAGCTCAAGGCGAATTTGCTCGCGGCGCTCGCCAAAGGCCACAAGTGCGGGAACGGACCGCTCTGCGGCCAGCTCCACGGGCATCTGAAGCGCAACTTTGACCGGCCAAAGAGCGCAAATCTGCGCATGTGGCTCCAGCTGCGTCTACGCCCGCACAAGGAGGTGGCGACAGCCCTCTTTCTTCAGCATTTTCAAGACCTTTTGGACACGCTTCTGGTCGTGCTGCGCCAGGACACGATCGACTGCGTCGCCTTTGGAAATCTGCGCTCGGTGTTTGCGCACTTTATTGCCGTACGACCGCCGACCGTGCTCGAGGCCGCGCGTTGCTCGATGGCGTCGAGCTCGCTGCATCCAATGTGCGCCGAAACGTATGAATTCATATAGGTATTAATTGAAATTGAGCGGAGGACGCAAGAGCACAAAGCTGCGCAGCTGTCCTCGCACCCAAAAAAGACTTGTGTATATAGCCCGTCTCTCTAGTCGCATCACAAGGCCACAACATAGTCGCCTAGTTGAGTGGGCTTGGTGCCATGTCCCTTCGTGGCAGTGGAGATTGGTGGTGTCGGCTCTGCCGGGAATAGCTGCAGCCACGAGAACGTTCCGACGCGGTACGCCAATCGAGTGGGTGGTCACGGGACGTCGTCAAGGCCAGGTCCATGTCAGTTGTTTCACGCTTTTGTCTGCTGCTTGGTGCCAGCAAGGACAAAGGCCAGACATGAGTATGTATGTAATCATGCTTTCTCTTTTTGGTCACACATTTCTCCGGCTTAGAAATAGTCCGAGGACGGACGCGTCCACACCAACAGTCGCAAGTTTTCCCTTCGACGCCTCTCGTCGTCGGCTCCATGTCGCTGCGAGACGTTGAGCCCAATCCTCGATTCCTCGCGAAGTGTGTGTGTGCCATCGCGACTTGTGGCTACTAGTTCAAGAAATCACGGGACATCGCAACTGCTTTCGTTGCGACAACGGCGCGCGCCGTTGGCTCCCAACCGCAGAATCACAGAACCTTACGACGATTGGCTTCGTCGCAATCGCCAGCTGGTGGCCGCGCGGCCGATTACGGTCACGAGGACTAAAGTAAGTCGGAACAGTTTAAAACACAACGGAGAATCACGGTCAACATCTCTCTTTTTCTGTGAGAGCTTGCTGTTTAATACAGTTTCGATCGCGATTATGGAGATTCCAAATGGCACAAACCGTGCCGAGTTCCAAGCGCGCATGACGCTCTTTCAAGTGAACCGCAGTGACGCCGTTCGAATGACAGCATATCGGTAAGTCCATTTTCGATTTCGCCATCTCTACGATGAAAGCTGCCTTGACGATCCCGGACATCATCCGGCATTCGCGCGTGTCCTGGGGCTCGAGCCGCTCGATGGACGACGACGAGCCAAGCCCGACGCATCGCCTCGACCGGACGCGCGTCACGATCGAACGGGCTTCGGTGCGCCTCCCAAAAGATAAGAAGAAGCCCGACAGCTCGTGCATCTTCTTTATCATCAAAGTCGACAAGGGCGACGGCTGCCACATTATCGAGCAGAGCTGGGCGGCCTTCTCGGAGCTCAAAGAAGACCTCTTGACGGCGCTTGATGCCGGCCACGCGTGCAGCGGCGTGTGCCCGTGGCTCTGGGAAGACCTTCACCACAACTTTGACTACCCGACCAAGAAGGTCAACCTCCGCACGTGGCTGCACCTCCGCCTGCGCCGCCGCACCAAAGACACGATCCAAGTGTTTCTCGAGCACTTTCAGGAGCTCCTCGACTCGATGCTGACTGTGCTGCGCCAGCGCCACATTCACTGCCGCCAGTTCCACGACGTCTGCGCCGTCCTCGCGCGCTTCATTGACGTGCGCCCGCCAACGCTCCTCGGGTCGCCCGAGCCCCGCTCGTATCACAGCGCCACCATGTCGAGCACGGGTTGCGTCGAATGCTAAGTAGATAGTCATGTTAGGTAGCGATAGCGTAGTCATATTTATTTACTAAAAGACATGTTGCGTCGACTCCCCTTGTTCACCTGCCCTACCTTTGTGCTGCTCAGCGCGATGTACTCTCGACTGAGCTGCCTCGCAGTGCTCCTGCTTCGTCTCGTGCGCTTCTTTGTTGTGGTGTCGGTATAGTACAGCTACGCAAGCGAATCTTCGGCAATGGTAGTAGTGATAAGACGTGGGAGACTGGTCAGAATCCCTCTGCTGCATTGGGTGTCGATGGATCGTTTATGAGCGTGTCGTCGTTGCGAAGAGGGAGAAGCATGCTCCGTACTATTGCAGTCTCTTTGTCAGGTGGACGCCTCTCTCGTGACGGATGGCGACTCACATTGCCGTTGCCATGACGTGTTGATGAAATCGTCGATCGACGTGTTACGACCATGATGCATCGACTGTGACGAACCTTGACTCTGTTCATGCGGCCATCATCGCTCATCGTCACCGACCATTACACTGACCAGGGAGGGTCCTTTCTATGGCCACGAACGAGCTCATACATGTACGTGTGCAGGAAGACAGTCATGCGCCCTCTACGGGTTGTCGCGATGGCTTTGACGTGAACGGGCGGCGGCGCCAAAGAGACGGCCCGAGCGTGCACCTCGAAGGGTGTTGCCACGCTTCGTTGGATCGCGTGTACTAGAACACAATTCCAAGAAGGAACTGATGATGGTCGACGAATCAGGCCCATGCGACGGGCCGATGACGGAGCACACGGCGCGCGCAACCACGTGGTCATAGACACGGACAGCGGATCCTCCTACGAACCACGTCGAGGATGAGGGCGCATTGTACCTTTTCCCATGAAGCCGCTAAGTCCATCGTCGAATACCCTCGTGCTCCACCGGTCGCGGGCGTCGTCTACGTCGTCCCTGACGTCGTCGCCACCGATGGGATGGCGCGCCCTTGACCACGTGCGCGTCGAGATTCTCCGAGCCAGCGTTTGCAAAAACGTCGACAAGAGCCAGCCCCGCGAAGCCAGCGTCATTTACGTCCTCAAGATCTACGACGGCGCATCGCACCACTTGGTCGAGCAGAGTTGGGCTGCGTTCCTCGAGCTCAAGCGCGACTTGCTAACGGCGCTGGACCCGGGGCACGCGTGCAATGGCCTGTGTCCTTGGCTCTACGAAGACCTCGCGTCCAACTTTGACATACCCCGGCGCAACGTGCCGTTCTTCAAGTACCTCTTCATTCGCCTGCACGTGATCAACCGCCGAACGATTCAAGTGTTTCGGGAACACTTCCAGGAGCTTCTGGACTCGCTCCTCCGGCTTCTTCACACGCGCGGCGGTCACTGCAAGCGACTTCTCGATGTCTGCACCGTCCTCGCAAACTTTCTGCACATTCGGCCGCCCACGATCGCCGTGGCCCGGTCGCGCTCGTCGATTCCCTAGCGCACGCGACGCTATGTCATATTAGTATATTTATAATATCACAGTCTTTGCCAACCCGAGCTGGATCGGCTCGAGAGACAAGACGAGTTCAATCGCCTACAGCCAAGAGCTCTGCAGTTGACGTAACGAAACTGGTCGCAGCGAAAAGAGCCATGCCGACGTAGTTCATCGGCAGCAACTGGAGCTCGAGAGGCTCGGGTGCCGTCACATCTCCCTGTTGATACCTGGTTTAGATATCGAATGATATGCGGCAGTGTCGGACTGTCATGGTCCAGGAAGGGCCTCCGACGTCGCGACTATGTCGAGCTTTATATCGTCATGTGCATAGAGCTGTGTGATTGGTCGGCTGTGCCGATGGCCCTCGGGGCAATGACGATGTATCGACGCACCGACGAAGTCGGATGTGCTCTTGAGCTACGTAGCCTGCCTGGTGCACGTCTAGCGAGCGTCTCTAAACAGTTTACGGACCAATTCTACTAGCATCCGCAAACACTATCCTGCACGTTGCTATCTTATATTACACCAGGATTGGGACTGGGGTTTTCGACGTGGCGAGCTGCATTGGTGACGCTCCTAGCGACGCGTTCCATTGGGAGGTCACCTGCGCGAGACGACTGCAATGACGCTTCCTGAGCACGGCCTCGGTCCACACGTTGCCTTTTCTATCGCACATTTTCTTGACCACACGTCGCCTTCAAGTGTTCTTTTCAACGAAAGCGCCTTGGCATTCTTCTGCGAAAAATATCACCGAGCGATCGCGATCACGTCGCGGCCTCTTTGATGAGGAAGATGTGGCACGCTACTTTTATCTAATGTATGGCAGCGTCGTCGCCCACGTCGTCTCGGAGATCGACCGCTTGCTGTCGTCCAAGCATTGCCATGGCGATGCGAGACCGTGCTCACGCCAGCGCGCGTCCTGCTATGCAGCAAGACCCAGCCACGACGATCTTCGTAATCGGATCCGGCAAAGTGCGAGGTGGTGCAGGTGAGCGACGGCTAAAGTGCGCTTCAGGATTGTTGACGAAAGTTGGTGGCGGCAACATCCGTGGGACATGCTGCCGCATGTCTGTGTAGGCAACCAATGCTTCATGCGTATATCGTCCACGAGTTCATTCTTTAATTTACCTTTTTGCGCTCATCTTCAATCATGCTTGCGCCGCACATGGTGCACATTCGCCACTCGTTCGCGTCGTCGACTTCATCTTCGTCGTCCTCGTCGTCGTCCTCATCAACGACGTACCGCGTGGACGCAACGCGCGTCGAGATTGTCCGCGCGTCGATCCGCTTGCCGTCGGACGCCAGCAAGGTCAAGCCCAGCAACGACAATGTCATCTTTGTCATCAAGGTGCACACAGCGTCGGGCTACCACCTCGTCGAGCAGAGCTGGACGGCGTTCACACAGCTCAAGGAGGCACTGCTGCTCGCACTCGACCCTGGACATGCGTGCAGCGGCGTGTGCCCGTGGCTCTGGGAAGACCTCTACCACAACTTTGAGCACCCGACGCAAAAGGTCAACCTCCGCACGTGGCTTCAAATGCGTCTCCACCGACACACAAAGCGCACGGTCCAAGTGTATCTCGAGCACTTTCAGGAGCTCCTCGACTCGATGTTGCACTTGCTTCGCCAGCGCGACGTTCAGTGCCACCAGTTCCACGACGTCTGCGACGTCTTGACCCAGTTTCTCCAAGTGCCGTCGATGCTCGACACGTGCGCGTCGAGCTCGCGCCTCCGCTTTTAGACGCTAGTTTTAGATCTTAGTTTTTCTTATTTATTGTAATGCCCCAATGCGAGTCATTTGCCCGCCACCACCACGGGATCCTTCTCACAGCGACGACTGCCAATTACAACCCTCCTCGGAATGTCATATTGATTTGAAAATGGTGGCCACAAGCAAGCCGTCACAAACGCAGACGGAAATACCGTGCGCGGTGTAAACCGAGTGATCGACGCGACGAATGATGTGCCGTCGTGTAGAGGTGTACACAACATCGCAAGATTGCGCACAAGAATGGCTTTCACACAGCGTTGGCATCGTCGACAGGGCGACGGTTGTGCTCACGGTTGACGTGGACCGCAAGTCTTTGTCCTTGTGGACGTTGTGATTGGTCGCGAGAGGCAGATTTCAAAGTATCTTGGTGACGCAGCGGCGTCATCATGGTTGTCGACTCGTCCCAGCAACTCACGGTCAAGAACGACGTTGTCACATGGATTGTGCCTTTTGTTCACGAAATTGCCCTTCCGCTAGCGTTTAAAACAGCTCGCTTGGTTGTTTACGATACACATGATTTAAACACTTTGAAATTCTCTTAGATGAGCTCATTGATGTCACGTCATCCAGTCGCCATGATCTCATCCAGCAGTCCAGGTCCTTGGCAGCTTCTGGAGTCATTCGCTACGGCCATGCCACGTGTGCTTGAGAACAAGGTGCGTCGCGTAATCCACCAAGTCGCAGTATCCTTCTCCTCTCCATGGAGCTGCCGTGGGACGAAGGTACTGGACCAGCGAATTGGGCGGTCGCCAATCATGGATGGCGCTTGACCCATATGGCGGCCACGCGGAAGAGGCCTGCGAAAAACGGTGGCCAGCGACACGTCGGTGGCAGCTGAGGTCCATACTCCGATTTGCGATCGCACCCACCAGACCCCAAGAAGATCGCGATGGCTGGCTTGACATCGCTGCACCACGGCCACCTCCCGCTCTGGCACAACCGCAGCGCGCCCGAAAAGCTCGAAACAACGCGCGTCGAGATCGTTCGCTGCGCGCTTCGCTCCGACATGACGTGCTCGCGCCGGGCGAATGAAGACGCAGTCATCTTCCAGCTCCGCGTCTTCCACGGCACGACGAGCCACGACGTCGAGAAGAGCTTCCACGCGTTCATGCAGCTCAAGGACGACTTGCTGGCGGCGTTGGAGCCCGGCCACATGTGCCCGGCGATGTGCCCGTGGCTGTGGGAAGACCTTCGCAACAACTTTGACCGGCCCAAGAAGCACGGTAATGTCCGCGCGTGGCTGCAGATCCGGCTGCACCGCCACACGGCCGCGACCAACCAGATCTTTCTCGAGCATTTCCAGGAGCTCCTCGACTCGCTGCTGCATTTGCTTCGAAAGGAGCACACCAAGTGCGACAAGTTCTCGGCTCTCTGCATCGTCCTCGCCCGCTTCCTGCACCTCGTCGACCCCAACGCGGTGGACGAAGCACGACCGGCTTCGTTGTCGGATCGTCACGAGCGCAATCTTGTGTCGCGTGCCAGTATTTAGAGGCAATAGCTCGAATTTGAATTATTTATCATTGGTTCTCTCGACCTCTCGACGCTGTATATGAATACTACTATGACGACGCTGCATCTTGGTTCGATGAGCTTCTATGTTGCGTCCTGGCGCTTGAAGTAACACACGTGTGCGCCGACGCAACAGCGTGTGAAGCGAACGTGCGGTGATTGACCTGTCGAAACCCCAAGATTTTGCCGCGGTCATCAAGGCATGACCGGGACGAGAAGTGTCCGACGACGTACAGTACACTGCAACACTGCGGCATGTACTGTGCATGAGCCTGTCAGTCACAGTCCCCACTCCACTTCATGCCCTCTTGGCAACGCAAATCAGTAGTGAGTGATGTTGGTTGAAATATTGCGAATAAATAGGATAAAATAAGAACTATGTGTCTAGCAGCACGCGACCGAGGTCGTAAGGCTGGCAGCGTCGTCTTGTGGCGACCCAAGAACGGACGGCGGGCGCACGTCAATGAAGCGCGCGAGGACGGCGCAGACGTCGTGGAACTGGCGGCAGTGAATGTGGCGCTGGCGCAGCACCGTCAGCATCGAGTCGAGGAGCTCTTGAAAGTGCTCGAGAAACACTTGGATCGTGTCTTTGGTGCGGCGGCGCAGGCGGAGGTGCAGCCACGTGCGGAGGTTGACCTTCTTCGTCGGGTGGTCAAAGTTGTGCTGGAGGTCTTCCCAGAGCCACGGGCATACGCCGGTGCACGCGTGGCCAGCGTCGAGCGCCGTCAAGAGGTCTTCCTTGAGCTCCGAGAAGGCCGCCCAGCTCTGCTCGATAATATGGTAGCGCTCGCCGTCAAAGACCTTGATGACAAAGAAGATGCACGCGCTGTCGGGCTTCTTCTTGCCGGCAGGTAGGCGCACCGAGGCGCGTTCGATCGAGACGCGCGTGCGGTCGAGGCGGTTGGCGGCGGTCGGCGACGCCATGGACGAAGAGACGTTCGAGTGGCGAATGATATCGGGGCTCATGAGTTGGCTGTGCATGGTGCGTCAAAATGAAGAATGACGACATGTGAAGAAAAGGGTAGCGCTGACGACGGATGTACACGGCCAGCGTTTGTCGTAATCGGCTCCCCGTAACCCAAATGCATGTAATCCGAGACACGCATACAAATCGCAAGTTTAAAATAAAACCAGCTGTGTCGATGCTCATGACGCTCCGCGCAATCACGACGTGAGACTTCGATGGCCGGGATTGCCAAAGCAGCCGCCCGACGCAATCATCGGTCGACGTCGGCACGACCACACAATCATTGCTTTTACGCCAATGTGGATAATGTAGGTCGCTGACGTGGTGATTCGACGACTGGTAATAATACATACTGCTTGGAATCGACTGGACATAATTGCTATTGAATGGGCAGCAATGGGAAAGAGACTGGAAGCCGTCCGACGACGGCACCCATCAATGTCCGCGCGTCGTCCATCGACTTCGTGGCGAAAGAACTATTCGAGATACTACTTCAAGTCAGAAAGAGAAGAGAGCACGGAGCCATTTGTCGGTTGCCGATGCTTGAGGAATAGATGTAGGCTATTAAATATCAGAGTGATGGCCGTGCAAGGACGCGACACGGCCCGGTCACGGAATGACAACGTCGGACGTCACCTAGACGCAAAACAAAGCGACAGGACTGAAAACGCTCGATCGACACGTATATTGCCAGCTACTAGTTATTAAATCCAGTGGCGACAAATATGCCATCGCTATCGATTGTTTTCGAGCAACGAGCAATGGGTTGTAACTACACGTATCTCCCGCAACTTGGCGCAGATATATCTGCAGATATATAGAGTAGGTGCAAGGTCGCAACGACCTGTCTCTTGGATCCGTTGTCGCC